TACATACAAACAAGTACATAGAAAAATGCATGTACTAGTACTGGTTTTTTCAACAACTTATTTCTGAATGTCAGTTTACAAGTACCCTACATGGCAAGCGTTTATTATCACTTTATGCAAATGTTTTTAACATTTCAAACGTATCTAAATGTTAAAGTTTGATATTTATATGAGTCTCTCTCGCTCTCTCTCTCTCTCTCTCTCTCTCTCTCTTTCTCTCCTCTCTTGAGTGAAAATTGTGACTTAGAAAACGAGGACAATTGCTAAACCGGAACCAGATGAATCAGAAAGTTAGTAAAATCATAGAAAATCTTGATTTACAGTAGGCCAGCAAAGTCTACACACGAAATACGGAATTTCTCTTATTAAAAATCGCATTTAGTTATAACTTATATTAAAAAAAAAAAATTCAAGTTTTCTTTGGACTTAAGATAAAGTCACAAACAAAAAATATACTTCAATCCCAAAATTATCACAAACAACGGCACATAAAGTTAATTTCACAGGCAAAAAATTAACAAAACAACACTTCGTTGGCCCGCCTTTAGCACCTGCCACTGCTCGTGTACGTCGTGGCATTAAAGAAACCAATTCTTTTTTATTTTATTTATTTTTTTTTTTTTGTTACATCTGCACCAATTTTATTGCAGTCGCCAAATAAAGCTTTTTTGATAATTTTTTTATTAAGAATTGGCTTCACCCAGAATAAACAGTTAAATCGAGCTAGTATTCAGCATGATTATGAAACGAAATGAAATCAACTACTTAATCAATCAGAAATCGCATGAACTTATGCATAGAGGGCTTATTGTGTAATACCTTGCGGAGACTATGTTTTTCTTACTCACTTTTCATATATTTTACACAATCTAACTGTACTCTATTTCTTTTGCTATGGAACATTTTGGACAGAGAACATGTCCCAATTTTTCTCGATTACTATTAAAAAACGGAGCTTGGCTTTTTTTAATTGCTAATCTAAAATAATTGTCGAGATGGCATCGAATAGATTCGAATATATTTCGTTGACTTAATTGGGTTTCTTTTTATGTTTATTGTTGATAGCGTTTGAAATTTATTCAATTTTCTTTACGAAGTTATGCGTGGGTTTAATATAATAGATGTCGTCAATTGTGAGTTAAAATTTTATGCCGAAGCTAAACAATTTTTGCATATATATATTTAGTTCAAAATAGAAGGTACTCAAAATGCCTGCTAAACCGCGCTTTCTTTTGCGTTTTTTTTTTTTTTTTACTTTATTTTTAATCAATTTGTTTTTGCTAATAATTAAACATCATTATAGACTGCTTGCCACCTAACCGTACAATATCGTATAAACATGAAGCAGGAAAACATGACATTTATCAACAAATTTGAAATAACCGTTGTTTATATACGAAATGTGTAAGCAGTACCTGTACTTATATATCGCAGCATTAGGACATGAGTACATGAGTGGTATGAAAAAAAAGTTTTATTCAGTTAATAAAGCAAAATTGCAATTCCTTATCATAATTCCGATAACAACCAACGACGAGGAATTAAAAGGCCTTTAAAATACAAACATTCCAAATAAATAAATATGCGGGTGTCCATATGTCCGCCACCTGTTTCGTGATCTTTCACAAGACATTGAAAGTTCGCAAAGACTTTTTAATTTAAAAATAAAATGTCTCTTGAACCTGTCTCATACATGCTGTAGTACCTTAAAAAAAAAAGAAAGGAAAAAGCAGTAAATCACGTTTTATACTATATTTAATACATTACGAACTGCAGCAGAGATCGATACGAAATTTGCAACTAATATATATAATGGGAACAACAATGTAAGCTGAAAATTTCTTTCACCCTGATTAGATAAAACTATCCTTTCTCCGCGCCGAACAATAATAGAGCTTTTGTGTTGACTGCATACGAAAGCTATGCTCATCTAGAATCGAATTTCCCACCTTTTAAAGGTAAAGGTAAGAAAAGTAAATGACTTATGGTAATTGCGCGAGTTAAAGTAAAAAATATTTAAAGAAGAAGTGAAGAATCACTCGAATCGAACTTGTTGATATTCTTAGCTATTGTGGACGCGGTTTGGGACATGATTTTTCACATACTTATTAGAAATTTCAATAAAAACCGATCAAACGGTCAGACGGTCTTTGCTTAATTAATGGTTAGATGTTACACAAGGAACGACGATATAAATAATTGCCCGCCGATCTCTAGGCGATAGTCATAAAAATGAGGAATTCGTTTTTCTCTGTCCTACCGAAAACACAAATGTATAAACAATTATGCGCGTTTATATAAGTATGTATGACCCAAACCTGTATGCATGTATGATTACATGTATTTATGTTTGCGGATAATGGCTGCATGTGTGAAGCTAACGTGATATAATTATAGTAGACGAAAAAAAAAAAAAAAAAAAAACCATTGCGAATATAATTTTGCTATAGAAAACGTTTGCCCAGTTTCGATAATGCTTTGTCAACTGCAACACATTCCAATAATTTCGGTTTTTTAATACAAAATGATTCTCTTTTTTTATTTTTCGTATTTTCGCGCGGTGGAAAACCAAAACAACCAATCAGAATTAAAGTTAGAGAAAAAACTAGAAAACCAAACGCACCAATACAAACAGTTTTTTTTCGTGTTTTTTTTTTATATTTAGATTTTTTGCTTGTTTATTTAATTACATTATTTATGTAATTGCATTAGCTTTAGATTAAAGGAAATTTAGTTTCGGGTTTGAAAACGAATACCATCAAAGTGTTGGGAAACAGTGAAAAATGGGAAAAATTCAAATAAAAAAGAAAAAGAAAAAAACAAAAACAAAAATTCGAAAATATTATGAAAGCATGTTTTAACTAAACTTTACTTGCAATCAACTGGAATAAAATTAATTATTGAAACGGGTAAGTGATACGTATTTATGTACAATACGTTAAAGGTTTAACAATATTACGGCATATGCTGGCGAAAATTTATTACCTCGTATCATAATAATCTTTAAGAATACCTGGCATGCATTAGCATCGTCTACTGTTGCGTCTATGCCCAATATGGAAGCGAACTTTTCCGTTTCAATCTCATGCACAGTTATCCGCAGAGAGTGAAAAGCACGGCGAATATCATTTGTTAAATGAAATTGAAATTGTTGATTAATTTTTACGAAAGTATTCATTTAAACTTATAACATGGCAGAGACAAAAATATCTTTGCTTATTAAAAGAAGCGAAATTTCATTGTGGAAATTTCCGTCTAGTATGCTCTTTATTTTTGACGTCCCATCCGCTAGTAAGATCAAGGCAATCAATTCCATTGCTAATTGTATAGATGATAGGAAATATCCTTATCATTGGACGATCAATTACTTTAAGATGTTTACGAAATTTTCAAAAAGCAAACTGACAAAGCTAAATATTTGGAAGTCAGCAAAAGAGTTAATTCGATTGAGTTTTATGCCGCGTCAATATGGATGCGCTGTATTTTTTGCGGCACTACGGCCGAGATGGGGCTGGGGCTTGGAAAAGTTAGATCTCAGTCGAAAAAATCTGTGTTTCAAATCTAATCATATCAAAAAAGGCAATTAGGCAAAAATTGAACAATAATAGGCAAAAATTTTGAACAATAATACCTTCAGTCTACTCGTCATTCTCGCAAATCAATACAACGCCTTCTTGCGTCAAACGGTTTGACACTTTAACGAATGAAAATGTATTCAATTTTCGCTATGGTCTGATGCAAAGACTCACCGCAATGTATACGCCTGTGAGATTTTATTAGAGCCTACTAACGTGTAGCAGTCAACTGCCTTGTATAGTATGTATATGTATAGATATTGACGTTTTGAATTTTTTAACCACATTTGTTTTGTTTGGTTTTTATATAAAATTATTATATAAATGCTTTGAATATATATGTATGTATAGATTTTCCTCACGTTCTCGTAAACGACCATCGTCTACCTTCAACTCTCACGTTCATTGTTATTTTAACTAAATTTAATGACAACATTTTATTTATACACGTTCTCTCGTCCTCTCTCTATAAAATTATTAAAATCATATTCACACACACACGCACACGCATTATAGTTTGTGCGAACGCTGCCCACATTATTAATTTGTACGCGTAAGTATGCGTGCGATATGTATTTATAACTATGCGTTTATGTGTGTATAATATTTATGTTAATTTACTATTATCATTACCATCATTATAATGCCTACATACGTATATACATATGTTTATTATAATAATGCGTTTGCTTGTATAACCGTTCATCTGCACTTATTATGCATTGTCTGTGTGTGTTAGCTGCATTTGGCGCCTGATTAACACAATTTAGTTTAGAAATATCCGGCAGTGTTGCAACATTAATTTGTTTCTCAAATTATTAAAAAAAAAAAAAAACTAAAAAAAAAAAATCCACTCAAATTAAATATTATAAAAATGTAGAGTAAAAAATTTAATACAAATTTTTTAATTTCTTTGGTATAAAGTTCATGAAAAAATTTCGTAAAAAATTTTTTTAAAAAGTGTTTATAAAAAAAAAAAAGGAACCTTCTATCAAGAAAAGACAATGTGAAAGGTATAAAAAACTTAGCAAAGACGAGAGAATATTTTATGATTTATTTAATCTGCCCTGTCTACAAAGCCTTTTAGATTTGCTATGAAAGCAAAAAATGCAATTTTTTAAACTTAACTATTCAAGCAATATGATACAAATTATAAATGAGAAATCTTCTTAAGACAAAACTATACTTACAATGCATTTTATTTCCTGATCCAAAATGCTTGATATTAAAGTCTCCTATGTTTACTACATTTAACAATTAAAAGGAAAAAGAACGCATACACCCATTTCTGTCATTCCATTTCTATGATTCATAGATACGTTTCAGGGACTCAATGATTACTTTAAAACTTTAGTCGATTTAATCGTATCTGTCCACCGTTCCATGTACATTTGTATCAATAATTATTATCATTTTTATACTCACCACGCAAACGATACAGTGATCAATAAGAATGATGTTAGCCTCTTGCGGCCATGTCTGTCCAGCAGTCCATTGTCTATGTCTGTGTATGAAATATTTCCATTTAGCCGTGGCCGTTCATACATTCGCGCAACTATATTCTTCATGTTATATATTAAGATGATACAGTAAAGTTGATAGTAAGAGTAATATTTGTATACTTTCGGCGTCCGCCACCTCAAGTTAGTTTCCTTTATATCCCGCAATTTTTGCGGCTTGCTGCTCCCACCGAAATTTTAAAGGCACCTAATACATTTTTTTATCCAAAGATCGATATTTTATCTTCTAAATTGTAAGTTATCGGTGACACTAATCCGAATATTAAACTTTTTAAATGCTATTACACAACAATTTTAGCCATGTTTTTCAGAGTTTATACGCAGTCATCAAATAAATTTATCATGTTTGATATTTATATATCAGTGCTTTATACCAAATTTCAAACGGAGTTATGGACAGACAAGGGGACATATACTCTTCAAATGATTCAGATTCTGAAATTGTCAAAATATTGAACCTACAAGCAAAGACTGTATTGTCCAATTCCAAACGTCCGTGCAAGAACTAAGTAAAAAATTATGAATTGTACGAATTTTCAAGTTCGAAGATCAATATCTTTTTCTAATTATTTGCCATGAGCAATATGGTTTAACTGGGCATTACATTTGAAATATTTTCATTAAGAAACTGATGCGCGCTTGGATTAAATAAATCAATCTTTTCGATAATTATCCATAGGTTTTGAGAGATCTCGATCGCTAATATACATGAAAAGTACACTTTTTATTGCAAAAGTTACTCTTATCTGCATGTTATTTGCATAAAGCACACTAGAGAGTATCTGCTCGATAATTTTCGACAATTGCTTAAATTAAATATATACGGGGAATACTTCTAAAACAAGCGTTCAAATAGAGTCTTTTGCAATTCAATGTATTTCGGTACTGATGGTATCTCATAAATAATTCAATATGTTTTAAAGGAATTGTATCGCTATTGGAAATAAGACTTTGCATTATTTGATCATTGATTTTATGCATTTGTCGGTAGACTTAGGTAGATTAGGTTTTGAATTAAAAATCTTTGCACTAAAACTTAGCAGAATTGAAAACAATAAGAAAACTATATTCGCTCTGAGATAAATCTTAAATGTTCATCATGGCATTTCGTCAGTCACAAACATTTTTTAAAATCAGTACAACATTATGATATTGTGTTAGCTATGTTCGTCCGCTCTTCCGTCGCTCCAAAAATATGTTAAGTTCAGGATCAAAAAGATAAAGAAGAACACGTTTTTTCTCGACTTTTCATAAAAAGAAACAAATTTTTGTGCGAACTCCTTTCGTAAAAAAAGATTTTTAACAAATTTTTTTACTTATTTTTATTAGGAGAGAATTGCAGCATAAACGCTAAGTATCGGGAAACATTAATAATGCAAAACATTTTTCAATCAGTCAGTATATCTCGTCAATGCAATGAATGTTTTCGGTAGGGTGGATGCGTTAAAGACATTAATCTTCGGAATCCTGTAGAAAAGTCTGTGCATAAGTTGTATTATTCCTTTCTACCATATCTTAGTCTGCATTCAATTCTTTTTTTTTTCTTTCCATTTCCGTTATATTTTTGGCGGGAATTCTTGTTTACTACTCTCGCCCCATATTTTTTGCAGTTCGTTTATAATTTTCATTAGAAAATGGTTTGTCTTTTATTGTTTTGTTTAGTTTTTCGTTGCTGTCGTTGTTATTGTTCTTTGCAGGCATGCATGTGAGTGAGTAACGTAGATATTTTTCCCTAAATTTTATGCTTTTTTTGTTGCTGCTGCTGCTGTTGTTATTGTTGTTATTTCTTTATTTCCGTTTTTCTACAACATGTTTTGATATTTTTGCGCCACAATTTTCTGTGTCGACTCGACGTTAATGTCTTGAATGAAAGTCAAAGTAAAACAACTTTAAACAAATAAAAGCAAACAAGGCAAACAAACAAATAACCAAGCACGTATATATATATATATATATATGTGTGTGTGTGTGTGTTGTAATACGTATATTTGTGTTTCTATATGACTATATATACACCAGTGTGGGCATAGAAATGGAAAACAAACAAAACTAAAGGGAAACATGGCGCTGTAGTCGAATGACTTAAATGATAGTAATACTGGAACATGTAGTAGAAATAGAGGAAAAGCCAATCTATGCTATTGTGGAGAAACATGACAACAGAAAAATGTACCAAAATATCACAATAACGACTAAATAAACATATGGAGCTGCTAATGAATGTATGATACGATTTCTGGATATGTTTTCGTCTATGTTAGGGATGAAAACGATTTTCAAAAGGAATAAAATAACAAATAAATGCTCAGAGTGTTTGGGGCAGAAACGCAAGATGTAGACTAAAATAATGATTATTATCATTAGTGCTATGACAATGATCGTCGTCATCATAATCATCATCATTCCACTCTCATATGTGTTCACTATAGCAGGCAAAGAACACAGTTTTTTCACATGATTGGGCTATTACCGGCCAGACATTTAATGTTGTGGGGTATAGATAAACAAATTGCCTTCTCTTCCTACACATTGGTGCTCTTATTATATACATAATGTACATAAATACACGTTGATATTTATATATATGTATGCTTATTGTAAAATATCGTATATAAATGGCAGAGAATTTTCACAGTAAACGGAGCCGTAAAAAATTACGTAAAAATATATGTCTATCTGTCTGATGTTCAGCTCTGTACTGTTATGCTCTTACTCACTGCACATGTCAAGTGGTACACGTTGCTACAACATCGTTGGCGCATTACTACCAACGATGTATTCAATAAATCCTTTTATATAATACAGGTATGTACTCAATAGCGAAAGAGTAGATGTGTTTCTCCCCTTAACTCCCTTCATCAAGCACATACGCATGCACACACTTACATATAAATTAAAAACTTTCTACCGAAATCATATATATGTATATGTATACATGTATATGTATTTTATATATGTGTGGGTGTGCGTGTGTGTGCACGCGTACATTAGGGTGAGGTTAGTGTGTAATTATCACGCTCATGATGATGATGATTATAATGGTGATGCTGATGTCGTGAAGCGAGGGGTGAGGAGAGATGACTTCTTTTTTCCGTGCCAACGACAGGTGCAATTTTATTTATTCCGTATCATTTCCGTTTTTGTACATAAATATTTCTTTTTTCTCGTCTTAGTTGCTCTCTACAACGACCGTTTTATGTATCCATACTGTTACACAAACCTATGCATACGTATATATCTTCATATTATACATAATTTTGTTTATTTAATACTTTTTTTTTTCAACTGATTAATGAAAATTAATTTCCTTTGATGTTGCATTTTTAATACCTATATAAAAACATATTTTGATGTTGATGACGCCTACCGCATCAACAATGACTGCGATAGAAAAGTATTTTTTAAAAGCTAATTACATATAAATTAACTCCTATTCGGATTTAAGGATTCTCCCTGTAACCAATATATTTCAAAAATGTTCGTACGTTAACTCGCATACTTGACGAACATACTATACACATCCTTAGATCCTTTTTAGATATCAACCGTTTTATAGAAATACTATATCTATATATAGATGTATGCATGTGTCGATCGGAAGCTAGATCAATGAGACCCTCAAGAGAGTTATCTGACATCTTAATAACATCAAAAGCCAGAGTATTCACAATTTTGCACAAAAATTTAGCATAAGAAAGTTGTGTTCCAAAGATCAAAGTGTTACTTGCGCTTATGTACCATTTGGATGCGTATGGTTTATTCTATTCATCGACTATTTTAAAATGGCAGGAGCAATGAATAATAAAAAAATTGTCAATATTGCGTCAACTAAATTTTAAAGTGCATCCAGATTCATTTGACCAATCACCCAGGAGATTTTCGCTATTCGCGTAACGCGATGACGGTCAAAACAAAGTGAGGAGAGAGGAAGGAAGAAAGAAGTGGGGAGGTAGTGGCCGCAGTCTAGTAGATGTGTGCCCAATCGGTAGGTGTTATGCTTTTACCGACTGAGCATTCACTATAACTACCACCAAAGCAAACTCTGTCGCACTAAGATTTGAAACCGCGAATAATGCCTTGGTAGTCGTGATTCTTGCCTACTCGGCTACTCATGCGCATTGACCAGATATGGCTCCCGCGTATTATTATCTATTCAAAAATTTCAAAAGGATTTTGCAGAGAAGGCTAAGTCATGAATTCATCGAGGAAATTAAAACGCATTTCGGAGGTCTTAATAATCCGTTTTATAAAATTTTGGAAAAAGAAAGAAACGCTCTTCCTTAGTTCCGGAAATTATTGACCAACGCACAAATCGACCTGTTAACGTTACATATTTAGAGCTTCAAGCGTGCGTATTCGCGTAAACTAGCCAAATCTCTTCGCATTCCTCATTATCGGCTGCGTAAACCATTTTCGGATAGTTTAGAATCAATATATAAAACATTACACTGCATATTGATTAAGTTGACGGATACATATTGTACATGTGTACATTAGCAAATGGAAGCATTTACTTTGATTTCGCTTTAATCCGGCAAAGTGTTAAATTGCTTTACAATTCTAAGCGAAGGTTCCCATATCAGAATGTAGCTCAGGAGATAGAGCGCTCACTTAGCATGTGAAATGTGGGTGATTCAATGCCACGCGTGTCCGTATATCACTGAATTTTCTTTGGGTATTTTTTTGACATGTTTAAAAAAGAATTAAACCACGTGATTTCGAGTACAATATATTCCCAGGTTGTTAAAACGAAAAGAAAGAAGAACAAAATTACTCTTGCCTAGCTTCCAAAAAGAAAAACAAAGAGAAAACAGGGAAGGTTTCATGCGTACTCTCTTCTTGGAACAAAAATTTAATCTTTAATTAGAACATAAATCAGTTCAACAAAAATGCTCGTGCAAGGGGTGAAAACTCCAGGGACTATACTTTGAATGGTAAGCGCAATCATCATATTTATTAGATCTAATCTTCTTGGATTTTC